ATTCTGTGTCTGTGCCCTGAGTAACAATTCTGTGTAACAATTCTGTGTCTGTGCAAGTAACAATTTTGTGTGCAAGTAACAATTTTGTGTCTGAGAGTAGTAACAATTCTCTGGCACTCAGTAACAATTCTGTCTGTCCCTGAGTAACAATTCTCTGGCACTCAGTAACAATTCTGTCTGTCCCTGAGTATGAATTCTGTGGCCCTGAGTAACAATTCTGTCTCTGTGCGAGTAACAATTCTGTGTCTGTGCAAGTAACAATTTTGTGTCTGTGAGAGTAACAATTCTCTGGCACTCAGTAACAATTCTGTCTGTCCCTGAGTAACAATTCTCTGGCACTCAGTAACAATTCTGTCTGTCCCTGAGTAACAATTCTCTGGCACTCAGTAACAATTCTGTCTGTCCCTGAGTAACAATTCTGTGGCACTCAGTAACAATTCTGTGTCTGTGCAAGTAACAATTCTGTGTCTGTGTGTAACAATTTTGTGTCTGTGAGAGTAACAATTCTCTGGTCTGTGCAGTAACAATTCTGTCTGTCCCTGAGTAACAATTCTCTGGCACTCAATTCTGTCTGTCCCTGAAACAATTCTCTGTCTGTCCCTGAGTAACAATTGTGGTCCCTGAGTAACAATTCTGTGAGTAACAATGTGTGGCCCTGAGTAACAATTCTGTCTCTGTGTGTCTGTAGTAAATTGTGCAAGTAACAATTTTGTGTCTGTGAGAGTAAACAATTCTCTGGCACTCAGTAACAATTCTGTCTGTCCCTGAGTAACAATTCTCTGGCACTCAGTAACAATTCTGTCTGTCCCTGAGTAACAATTCTCTGGCACTGTAACAATTCTGTCTGTCCCTGAGTAAAATTCTGTGGCCCTGAGTAACAATTCTGTCTCTGTGTGCTGAGTAACAATTCTGTGTCTGTGCAAGTAACAATTTTGTGTCTGTGAGAGTAACAATTCTCTGGCACTCAGTAACAATTTGTCTGTCTGTGAGTAAACAATTCTCTGGCACTCAGTAACAATTCTGTCTGTCCCTGAGTAACAATTCTCTGGCACTCAGTAACAATTCTGTCTGTCCCTGAGTAAAATTCTGTGGCACTGAGTAACAATTCAATGTCTGTCTGTGCAGTAACAATTCTGTGTCTGTGCAAGTAACAATTTTGTGTCTGTGTAACAATTCTGTGTCTGTGCAAGTAACAATTTGTCTGTGAGAGTAAACAATCTCTGGCACTCAGTAACAATTCTGTCTGTCCCTGTCCCCTGAGTAACAATTCTCTGGCACTCAGTAACAATTCTGTCTGTCTGTGGCCTGAGTAACAATTCTGAAGTAACAATTCTGTGGCCCTGAGTAACAATTCTGTCTCTGTGCGAGTAACAATTCTGTGTCTGTGCAAGTAACAATTTTGTGTCTGTGAGAGTAACAATTCTCTGGCACTCAGTAACAATTCTGTCTGTCCCTGAGTAACAATTCTCTGGCACTCAGTAACAATTCTGTCTGTCCCTGAGTAACAATTCTCTGGCACTCAGTAAACAATTCTGTCTGTCCCTGAGTAACAATTCTGTGGCCCTGAGTAACAATTGTGTGTCTGTGCAAGTAACAATTCTGTGTCTGTGCAAGTAACAAACAATTTGTGTCTGTGAGAGTAACAATTCTCTGGCACTCTGTCAGTAACAATTCTGTCTGTCCCTGAGTAACAATTCTCTGGCACTCAGTAACAATTCTGTCTGTCCCTGAGTATGAATTCTGTGGCCCTGAGTAACAATTCTGTCTCTGTGCTGAGTAACAATTCTGTGTCTGTGCAAGTAACAATTTTGTGTCTGTGAGAGTAACAATTCTCTGGCTGTCAGTAACAATTCTGTCTGTCCTGAGTAACAATTCTCTGGCACTCAGTAAATTCAATTCTGTCTGTCCTGAGTAAATTCTGTCCCTGAAACAATTCTCTGGCCCTCAGTAACAATTCTGTCTGTCCCTGAGTAACAATTTCTCTGGCACTGAGTAAGTAACAATTCTGTGTCTGTGCAAGTAACAATTCTGTGTCTGTCTGTGTAACAATTTTGTGTCTGTGAAGTAACAATTCTCTGGCACTCAGTAAAAATTCTGTCTGTCCCTGAGTAGTAATTCTCTGGCACTCAGTAACAATTCTGTCTGTCCCTGAGTAACAATTCTGTGGCACTCTGTCAATTCTGTCTGTCTGAGTATGAATTCTGTGGCCCTGAGTAACAATTCTGTCTGTGTGCGAGTAACAATTGTCTGTGTGCAAGTAACAATTTTGTGTCTGTGAGAGTAACAATTCTCTGGCACTCAGTAACAATTCTGTCTGTCCCTGAGTAACAATTCTGGCACTGGCACTCAGTAACAATTCTGTCTGTCCCTGAGTAACAATTCTCTGGCACTCAGTAACAATTCTGTCTGTCCCTGAGTATGAATTCTGTGGCCCTGAGTAACAATTCTGTCTCTGTGCGAGTAACAATTCTGTGTCTGTGCAAGTAACAATTTTGTGTCTGTGAGAGTAACAATTCTCTGGCACTCAGTAACAATTCTGTCTGTCCCTGAGTAACAATTCTCTGGCACTCAGTAACAATTCTGTCTGTCCCTGAGTAACAATTCTGTGGCCCTGAGTAACAATTCTGTGCAAGTAACAATTCTGTGTCTGTGCAAGTAACAATTTTGTGTCTGTGAGAGTAACAATTCTGTGGCACTCAGTAAACAATTTCTCTGTGTCTGTCCAATGTCTGTCCCTGAGAACACAATTCTCTGGCACTCAGTAACAATTCTGTCTGTCCCTGAGTAACAATTCTGTCTGTCCCTGAGTAACAATTCTGTGGCCCTGAGTAAGAATTCTCTGGCACTCAGTAACAATTCTGTCTGTCCCTGAGTATGAATTCTGTGGCCCTCCTGAGTAACAATTCTGTGTCTGTAACAATTTCTGTGTCTGTAACAATTTGTGTCTGTGTAACAATTCTCTGGCACTCAGTAACAATTCTTCTGTCTGTCCCTGAGTAGTAACAATTCTCTGGCACTCAGTAACAATTCTGTCTGTCCCTGAGTAACAATTCTCTGGCACTCAGTAACAATTCTGTCTGTCCCTGAGTAACAATTCTCTGGCACTCAGTAACAATTCTGTCCCTGAGTAACAATTCTGTTCTGTCTGTCTGTCCCTGAGAATGAATTCTGTGGCCCTGAGTAAGAATTCTCTGGCACTCAGTAACAATTCTGTCTGTCCCTGAGTAACAATTCTCTGGCACTCAGTAACAATTCTGTCTGTCCCTGAGTAAAAAAATTCTGTGGCCCTAATAACGTTTCTTTGTGCCCTAAGTAACAATTCTCTGGCACTGAGTAACAATTCTGTCTGTCCCTGAGTATGAATTCTGTGGCCCTAACTAGCGTTTCTTTGTCCCTAAATAACGACGATTCTGTGGCCCTCATTAACAAGTCTGTGTCCCTGAGTAATGGTTCTCTGTCCCTAAGTAACTTCTCTCTGTCCCCAATTCTCGTTTCTGTGGCCCTAACTCTGTCCCTGTCCCTAGTACAGAGCGGTCTGCCTCTGTTCAATGACTGCAGGCAAATGAAGATTTCCAAAATGGCCGCTATATATACCTCGACCATTACACAGTGCTGGCTGGCTGGCTGCTGATTGGCTGATGCGTCCGAATTAGGCTGTTTTTCGGATTCGGCACGAATCGAAATTTTTCCGAAATTCGACTCGAATTCCACTAGCATATAACCATAAGTATAAAGATACACACCAATATGGAAGTAATACAAGCTTTATATAAGGAAAGATTATTATTAGTACATACATTTAATGAACAAACAAGGTAATAGTGGCAAAGAGTGCAACAGGAGTTGCACATATAGCCCTACTATATATATATATAGTTATTATTAAAAGATACCTCCAGATGAGTGTTGCAGCAAAGTTCAGTTACAGGGCCCCCTGAGGATGATCACAATGCAGCATCCATCTTGATACTGAAGACCCGAATACAAAAGCAGCGATGATGGGGAGATCCTCCAATCGTTATCCAACCAGCCTTGAATGCAGCTTCTCAACAGCAGAAACCATGGCATGGCACTGGACCTCAGGGTCAGCCTATCTGTCTGCATCTTAGTCCCTAGTTCTAATCTGCCATGCCAGAATAAACTAAAATAACAGGTCCTGCATATAAATTCTACTGCAATAAACAGGTTCACCCATTAACATACAGAAATGTAACCACTACACACCCACATTGTACCACAAACTATCTGATATAGTGCATGTGAGATAACAAAGAGTCAGATATACACTATATTGCCAAAAGTATTGATACCTCTGCCTTTACACGCATATGATCTTTAATGGCATCCCAGTCTTAGCCCGTAGGGTTCAATATTTAGTTGGTCCACCTCTTGCAGCTATAACCACTTCAACTCTTCTGGGAAGGCTATCCACAAGGTTTAGGATTGTGTCTACGGGAATGTTTGACCATTCTTCCAGAAGCGCATTTGTGAGGTCAAGCACTGATGTCAGATGAGAAGGCCTGGCTCGCAGCCTCCACTCTAATTAATTCCAAAGGTGTTCTATTGGGTTGGGGTCAGGACTCTGTGCAGGCCAGTCAAGTTCCTCCACCCCAAACTCGTTCATCCATGCCTTTATGGACCTTGCTTTGTGCACTGGTGCACAGTCATGTTGGAACAGGGAGGGGGCCATCCCCAAACTGTTCCCACAAATTTGGAAGCATGAAACTAAGGGGCCAAGCCCAACCCCTGAAAAACAGCCCCACACCATAATCCCCCCTCCACCAAACTTTACACTTGGAACAATGTAGTCAGGCAAGTACCGTTCTCCTGGCAACTGTCAAACCCAGACACATCCATCGGATTGCCAGACAGAGAAGCATGATTCATCACTTCAGAGAACACAACTCCACTGCTCTAGAGTCAAGTGGCAGTGCGTTTTACACTGCATCCGACGCTTTGCATTGCATTTATTGATGTAAGGCTTTGGATGCAGCTGCTCGGCCATGGAAACCCATTCCATGAAGCTCTCTACACACTGTTGTGCTAATCTGAGGCCACACAAAGTTTGGAGGTTTTTAGCTATTGACTCTGTGGACAGTTGCCGACTTCTGCGCACTGTGCGCTATAGCATACACTGACCCCGCTGTCATTTTATGTGGCCTACCACTTTGTGGCTGAGTTGCTGTTGTTTCCAGTTGCTTCCACTTTGTTATAGTACCACTAACAAGTGACCATGGAATATTTAGTAGCAAGGAAATTTCACGGATGGACTTATTGCACAGGTGGCAACCTATCATGGTACCACGCTTGAATTCACTGAGCTCCTGAGAGTGACCCATTCTTTCACAAATGTTTGTAGAAGCAATCTGCATGCCTAGGTGCTTGATTGTATACACCTGTGGCCATGGAGGTTATTGGAACACCTGAATCCAGTGATTTGGAGGAGTGTCCCAATACTTTTGGTAATATAGTGTACTTTTGTTATCAGTCTATCTACAGTATACAGAAAGCTGAGAATGGAGCGCGCCTGACAGGACACAACAGTGCACATGCTCAGAAACATGGGTCAGTAGGATTTAAAAGATGGCTGTAGAAGGAACTGATCCTCGGGGTTCTTGGAAAAATGGGAAAAGGAGCTACGAACAGAACTGAATACACAACAAAGGAATACATTTTTTAAATAACACACGAGGTGACAAATATGAGCACAGTGGAAATTAACAATAAATGTTTAGCTAGATGGTATATTACACCAAACGTAGCTCACAAGCAACAAGTAGATACTTCACCTTTGTGTTGGAGGGGATGTGGAGAAAGGAGTACAATGGCACATATATGGTGGGATTGCCCGAAAATACAGGATTACTGGAAGGAAATAATCCAATATATTCAGGAAATATGTGGGATGTCTGTACAGAGAGACCCATGGAGGTGTTTATTTTATAATTTTGAGCTCTCGGTGAAATTATACAAAAATAGACTACTTTATCACTTATTCAGTGTGGCTAAAGGTCTGATTTCCAAGTTTTGGCAGGATGGAAGAGCTATATCACATAGAGGAGGATAAAATGGAAAAATGTGGTGTAGTTGGTTACAATGTAAAACCTCTGAAAGATACACAGAACTGGTGGGAGTTGAGGGGGAAGTTAGATGTCAGGAGAGAGCCTTAATGGAGAATCTGAGAGAGAGTAGTGTAAGATATACAGGTGTGAAACTCCCAAAATTAGAATATCGTGCAAAAGTTCATTTATTTCAGTAATGCAACTTAAAAGGTGAAACTAATATATGAGATAGACTCATTACATGCAATGCAAAATAGTTCAAGCCGTGATTTGTCATAATTGTGATGATTATGGCTTACAGCTGAAAACCTCAAATCCACAATCTCAGAAAATTAGAATATTGTGAAAAGGTGCAATATTCTAGGCTCAAAGTGTCCCACTCTAATCAGCTAATTATGCCATAACACCTGCAAAGGGTTCCTGAGCCTTTAAATGGTCTCTCAGTCTGGTTCAGTAGGAATCACAATCATGGGAAAGACTGCTGATCTGACAATTGTGCAGAAAACCATCATTGACACCCTCCATAAGGAGGGAAAGCCTCAAAAGATAATTGCAAAAGAAGTTGGATGTTCCCAAAGTGCTGTATCAAAGCACATTAATAGAAAGTTATGTGGAAGGAAAAAGTGTGGAAGAAAAAGGTGTACAAGCAGCAGGGATGACCGCAGCCTGGGGAGGATTGTCAGGAAAAGGCCATTCAAAAGTGTTGGGGACTTTCACAAGGAGTGGTCTGAGGCTGGAGTCAGTGCATCAAGACCCACCACACCCAGACAGATCCTGGACATGTATTCAAATGTCATATTCCTCTTGTCAGAAGCGTCTTACCTGGGCTAAAGAAAAACAGACCTGGTCTGTTGCTCAGTGGTCCAAAGTCTTCTTTTCTGATGAGAGCAACTTTTGCATCTCATTTGGAAACCAAGGACCCAGAGTGTGGCACACACTGCAAGATGCTTGAAGTCCAATGTGAAGTTTCCACAGTCTGTGTTGATTTGGGGAGCCATGTCTTCTGCTGGTGTTGGTCCACTGTGCTTCATTAAGTCCAGGGTCAACACAGCCGTCTACCAGGAGATTTTGGAGCACTTCATGCTTCTTTCCGCAGACGAGCTTTATGGGGACGCTGACTTAATTTTCCAGCATGACTTGGCACGTGCCCACACTGCCAAAAGCACCAAAACCTGGTTCAATGACCTGTGCTTGATTGGCCAGCAAACTCGCCTGACCTGAACCCCATACAGAATCTATGGGGCATTGCCAAGAGAAAGATGAGAGACATGAGACCGAACAATGCAGAAGAGCTGAAGGCCGCTATTGAAGCATCCTGGTCTTCCATAACACCTCAGCAGTGCCACAGGCTGATAGCTTCCATGCCACGCCGCATTGAGGCAGTAATTGCTGCAAAAGGGGTCCAAACCAAGTACTGAGTACATATGCATGCTTATACTTTTCAGAGGTCCGATATTGTTCTATGTACAATCCTTGTTTTATTGATTGCATGTAATATTCTAATTTTCTGAGATTGTGGATTTGGGGTTTTCATGAGCTGTAAGCCATAATCATCACAATTATGACAAATCACGGCTTGAACTATCTTGCTTTGCATGTAATGAGTCTACCTCATATCTTAGTTTCACCTTTTAAGTTGCATTACTGAAATAAATTAACTTTTGCACGATATTCTAATTTTTCAAGTTTCACCTGTAGATAGATAATTATGAGAGAAGAAGATAAAGATTAGGAAGGAGGATGTGGATGGGAAAATGGGTTGGGGGGAGGGTGGGGTTAATGCTGGGGTAAATGGAGATATGTGTATGTGAAATATTTTTGCAATCAAGTTGTTGATGTTCTTTTTTGTATTGGAAAATCAAATAAAAGTTTAAATACGAAAAAAAAGAAACACGGGTCACTACGTCTGGTGACATCATCATGCCAATGCCGCATCCCATGTGCATTCCAGCCCTCCACCTGGATTCTCTTCCATACAGCGGCCGGCCTCCTGGAGAGAGATAAGGGAATCGCTGTACAGCGGAGAACACGGCAAAATAGCGGTGAAGACCTTTTACCATCCCGCCCAAAACTAACACTAAGAGCTTGTTGTTCTTTTATATATACAGTATACACACACAAATATTAACATAGGAAAACTTGACTAATAATACCTGTTTCTGGTCTGGATTAGTAAGAACTCTTCTATAGGGCATGGAGGTCTTAGCTCCTCTCTCTCTCTCTCTTTTTACCTTCTCCCTCTGGGGCTTCTAAGCTAGCCACACGAAGGCAGGAAATTATGTATATAAATAACTCTCTAACATTAAACAACACCAAACAAGGGGCAATTTGGAAGACGTCCCGTTGACCAAACGTGCGTATGGCAGAGTTTAGCGGTGACACCAGGAGAGTCGGCGGTGCTGTCCGATATGCTTGTCATACTATCTGTTTTTTGAGTGTCCATTTTGTTTTTTATTAAATATTTTAAAATAGTATTTCACTATGGGATTTCCTTGCTATTTCCTTGGTATGTGTTTTTCCTGCTGAGACCTGTATATGAGAAGCAATCCAGTGACCACTTTTGGGGCATGCCATTCACGAGACAGTGAGGCTTGGGGCTTGCTGAGGTGTGAGAGAGATAGAGCTGAAGCCATCTATCCATCTGGGATTTTTCATCTTTTAAATGTTGATTAAGACTTCTTGAGTTGTGGGGTTTAAGGATTTGGTAAGTAGCACTATAATCACTTGGAGGTTGGTGAACAGCTGCTGCATGAAGATTTTGCACACTTTTGGTGGACTTTGATATTTTTTTTATAGGAATTTATGTGTTTGTTATACGCTATATACTATGTTATACACTATATATTTGTAGTGCCCTCCTAGTCAGCTGGGGGGAGCTAGACTCCAATTGTTTGCAAGGAGGGCTGAGTAGCAGCCTGGGTGTGATATCTAGCAGGAGTCAAATTATGGTCAAGGCTGAGAGGCTCTACAGACAGGCCCACTGGAATTTCCCCCTGCTCGAGAACTTTGGAGAAAGGTCTAGAAGCACTGGATGGATCTAAGGAGTGGCTGGTCTGTACTTGTAGGGGATCCTGGCAAATCCCCAACAGAAGGCTTGGCAAGGGGCCACGACAACCTTTAAGAGTAACTGAGCCTGCTCAGCAATGAGGGAAGGAGGAGGAGGAGGAGAAGAGTTTGGGTGGAAGTTGGAGATGGAGTGAGGATGCAGAAAGGGGGCCCAGATGGAGAGGGGCTCACCTACAGGCAGTGCAGCTTGGAAGGAGGAAAGCTCAGATCTTCACCAGCCCCCAGAGCGAGGACCACCTGTGTAGCAGGGTAGCAGTGGCCAAGCTAGAAGGCCTGGTAGCAGCCATCAATCCACCAGCCACACAGGAGAAGGACTGAGTGAGCAGACCTGCACCCCCTAGGCCAGAAAGGGGAAGGTGGCACTCTGCCTGCCACTCAGGACTGTTTCACTATTTACATGGTAGACACCAGATCCCCTGTTCAGGGATTCACCCAGAACAGCTGGATAAGGAGTATCTAGGGTCTGACATGGTACTACAGAAGATGCTGGCTAGCTCTCCAGAAGAGATTGTTTGCTGTGACCACTTGTAAAAAAGTTCAGGAAGTTGTCCTTGGTTTTTAGTTCCATTGGGCATCCCGTATACCCCTTACCCTATCCAAGTTAAAATCTCCCTAATAAAATCCAAAAAACACGCTCAAGGACTGGTTACTGACTCCTAAATGCAATTTGGTGTAGAAATACGTGTTGCCTGGCTGTGCAGGACTATAGGGGAACCAAAACTTCAGCAAGTCCGAAGGGGGTACATATTGAACTAGATGTTTTTCCATGACAGTGCAACACTATTTTTTTAAGTTGTCTTTTGATATTTATATGTGAATATCAATGAGAGCTGCAATCAGGATTTATTACTTTCTCACCTTTATTTAATTTGATTAATTTGCCACAATATCGTGTTCCTATGGGCACCACAAACCCACAGAAGAGCCACATCATTTCAGCTGTATGTAACTGGCCTGTTCTATTCAGAAGAATCTGTGGTCACTGGTAAACAACATCTGCTTTTTATTTGGGCACTTCAGTTAAAGTTTTTATAAGAAGCTGTCTCATCAGTAAATGAAAAAGACACTGGGCTTTTGTTCTTTCTAGACAGAACTAAAAAAAACACAAGATGGGTGGTCACAAGAAAACCATACAAAGATCTGAGAACATAGCTCCAATAAGCTATTATGCTAACTGAAAGTTTACACGTTTTCAAAAATATTACGCTTTAGTCATAGTGGGGTATAACTGATACCAACAACTG